TGACCCTTCTTCCCTCTCACCCGAACAAGTAGCAAAATTAGTGTCGTATGGCGACAAATTTGTAACTCACTCGAGCTCACTACAGACTCCCTGTTTTTCTAAGGTCAACAAAATTTGAATGGAATTCGTAGGCCGAAGATGAGCTTGCGTCTCGTTGTTGGCCGCTGGGCTCTGGCTGGCGACCGAGGGGGGGGGGGGATGTCAGACTCCAGTTCCGCTTATGGCCGTAAACTGCACTCCCTCCTCAAAGTGAACCAAGTAGTAGAAATTATTATGTCCTGGGCTGGCTTTTACCTGAATCATTGGATACGGTACTCCTTATTTTTCTAAGAACAAACCAATTTGAATGAAAGCCGTAGGGCAAAAATTACCTTTGGCGCGCCGTTCCACCCCGCTAAAGCCCAACGCGTATGTTCGCAATAGGCGACTTCAGAGTATATCTGCATAATTTGAGCATCTTGATACGTCTATGTGTCTCAGCGTTTGTTTGTCCATAGGCCAACACCAAGCACGCGAAGCCCTTTTAAGCCACATCGAATAATGTGGACTTGACGGATTTTGTTTCTGACAAGGTAGCGGGCTGTATCCGCGCCACTCGAACCTCTCGAACGTTCGTGCCAGCTGCTGTTTGACACTTTGCTCGCGCAGCGATACGGGCCCACTGGCATGTGGGCGTTGTTTGGCCTCGGAGTACTTGCGGCGCTGGCTGGCGAACTTGTTGCAGTAGGTCTTAGATGAAAACTTACATGAAACTTTTGGTATTCAGTTCCATTTCCTTTGCGAAGACGTAAAACTTGTTGATAGTGCTACAGTAAGGCCAGCTTATCGTTTTACCAGAATATGGCTTGAGCCGGTATACATTTCCTGGGGTTCTACTTAAATGGAATTGGTTTTAATGCTTTTGGATTTAACAATGACTGTCAATTTATCTAAGATAATTTAAGTTCGGTTAAATGTCGCGCTTCTTATTATTGACTAAGACAGTAGCTAGTCAGTCATTGTCATGTATACAACGAAATAATAGAAAAACTTCGCGAGGGTAAAGAAGTTGATGACAAAACTTTGTTGAAAATGTTTTGTTTCAAGTTCTCTTTGAGCAAAGGAAACTTCTGTACAAGAAGCTGCGTGGATTTTACTGAATTCTACATCAACACATA